AAGAAAGAAACGAAGAAACGAAGAACGAACGAAGAACGAAGAAGAAGAACGAAGAAGAGAAGAGAGAGAGAGAGAGAGAGAGAGAGAGAGAGAGAGAGAGAGAGAGAGCAATACGAACAGACGAAGGAGAACACTAGTAGATGTCACATCACAATATATTACGATAATATGATAATTTTTTGTTTATTTGAGCACATATGAATTCTGCAAGGAATACAATGCCAGAATCCAACTCACATATAGCAATTTACTCAGAAGTAAAAATCAGACTTTATATCAGTGTTCTTGAGTTGTGAACCTGGGAAAGATACTTGTAAACGTCAGTCATTGTCAGAACACGTAAATGCCCAAGCAAACCTAACGCTACGAGAAGCCCCGCATGAGTGACACTTGGCTCCTCCCGCTTGTTATAAGATATCCATGCTCTTGACATTTTCCCCTACGTGCACATGATCGAGAGTATTAAACATTAATACCGTCAAAAAGTATAATTATTTCATTTCAGGGCTAGGTAGTTTTATATTTCCCTATAAAGGATTGACTATAGCCCAAAATCTTAAAGAGTGTCACAGTCCTCGAAAACAATACTCATAGTAAAAAAATGTTGGACATGTTTATAATAGTTAAATACGCTGTAGAGAAGTCATTACAAAATATTAACAATATATTTCTGCAACAAACCTGAAATGGCGCCAGCTTTAATCCAGCTGCAACTCCATTATGAAACTCTGGCCATGACCTAAGTTCCTGTATATTCCTTATATTTGGATCAAGATTCACCTATTAAAAGTGGGAAATCTTACAGGTTGAGTAACGTTAGCCACAGGCTTGCCTAGGAATGTACGTTCAAGAATCTACACTTACAGCAATGGGTAAACAGCACAATAATTATAATAGTTACAAAAGTAAAATAACCATTAAAAGATAAGAAACAATATTATTCCACTGCTCCACCACAAGGTAAGTGGCAAGAAGCTCCAAGGGAAGTATGGCGAGAGAAAATAATCAGAGTTTAAAGTTGGCATCAATCAATACATGCAAGCGAGACCGTCTATATCTTTTGAAGACCCCAACAAACAGTCTCCAAAAATATGTGCAAGCAGATAATCCTACACAGTATACACATACCAAGACATATAGTAATACATACATACATATACATACATATATATGTATATATGGATAAAGAAATCATTAAGCATTTATTAATTCAAACTATATACAGAATTCAGGTTGCCTCCTGAAATTTTAGATATTTTATACGAATTGATCATGTCATAAATTTCACATCATTTTCTGATGTTATTCCAATTTAAAAGTAAACTCATTTCAAAAGTGCAATTAAATTTTTTTTATGTGTTCCATATTTTCTGCTATGTTCTCTCTGGTTCCATATTTTCCACATTTTCTAGTGGTCCCTGAAATGACCAAATTGAAGAGTCATTTCAATCTGTAGTCTAAGTAAAATATGCCCTCCAAGCAAGTGACAAACTAGAAGTAACTCAAAGACATCAAGCACTATAATCAGAAAACTTCCAAAGGTTGCCAAATAAAAGAAATAAGCTCCCAGAAAAGTAAAGGAAAAAGTGAATCCAAACCACATCAGCTTAGAATCTAGTGTAATTAACATGCTGACATTGTCATTTTAGAGAGAAGACAAACACCACCACTCACTAAATAAAATAAACATAGTAGGCATCTCTCATGGGAATTGGAAAATATAAAAGGAATCCCAATAAATGCAACCAAATGATAATACTTGTGAACATTGAAGCAAATTATAATTAAGCACAAATAAACAGGCATACAGTTGCATTTTGTTGTGAGGGCAAGCGACCGGCCAAATTGAGTTTTGGAACAACAAGTGCCTACATAATTCCAATGCAATCAATTAGGCGTGAATAAGCACTAATAACGTATTCTAGACAATACAGAAGACTAGCAAAGCCAATCACAAAAGTTCCTATCTAATGATATAGTAGTACCTCTGTCAAGAGCGTAGAGGTGGTAGCAAGAGTAAATGCTCCCCGTCCAAGAGGCAATGCAGTAGTTCGTTGAGCTAGCTGCCACAACTGAGCCTGTGCCAAATTATACACAGTAAACAATACCAATGATAGGAAAGGGCAGTAGGAAATCAAAAGAGATATATGAGTTTACCGCAAAGTAAATAAACATCTGACAACTGCAAGAAACTCAAAGATATTCTGGTAGTTGCTAGCATAAATCTAAATCTCCCACAGCATCATGATTTGGTGGACGTGGAGCCACCAAGCCCCCATCCAGAAAGTGTAGGAGATCTACTTGTGGAATAAAGAACTGCAATAATCCATGCAAGGGCCCTCTCACAAGATCATTCCATACCCACATAATTCATAAAAAGCCCTTTGCAATAACCAGGCAAGGTACAGCACACAGCGAAGGCAAGTCGACTAGGATGAATCCTGAGTCAACTTATCATGATTTTAAACAATGTGTCAAGACTACACTATTTCAATTTTCGACCTAGAAAAGGTAATTTTTATGATCAAACTGTGATAAACACTAAAGTCAACTGTGATACTTTTTATTTGTTAAAACTTGATAGTTGATACTTTTTATTTGTTAAAACTTGATAGATTTAAACATCATGAAATCAAATTTATGAGCTAGAAAACATTATATAAGATCACACCCACAACAGAATAAAAAATCAATCATTACAGGAAATCAAAGCACTCGTTGGAACAATTTATCTTGCTATATGTCCAAAAATGAGATACATGAAATTGATGCCAAAGGAAAATCGAATAAAATACGTTGAGAGAACAATAAGTTCATCCACCTGCTGGAGATCTTGATCAGACGCGCTAGGGTTGACAGGAGTTTGAACAGCTACAGGTCTTGCAGAACATAAGAGGCGCCTGACCTAACAAACCACATAAGAATAAATCCACTGCCAACTTAGCAAATTGCATACTTATGGCGTCAAATGGTAGAAAATTCACCATAGAATGCATAATGAGGTGCAAGTTTCATGCAACACCAGTACTCCAACATAGTCCACAACATACAAAAATCACTCAAAAAGAACCCCTCCAATACATTAGAGAAGACTGACAATGCTCATATACTCAAGTAGAAGAAAAGATATGATGACAAGGCGTAAGGAACAATAATTTAACCAAACAGGCAAAACATGCATTCAACATTTGCAGATTGACCAAGTCATTTTCCAGCATAGAGGCTTTGTAAGCAATGGTAAAGCAAGTCTATAGCATAAATAAGATCATACACATCCCAACAGACTAAAGAAGAATGTCAAAATATCTCGTTTACTGGTTCCAAAATCTATAAAACACCCCTTAATTTAACCAAAATGAGGCCAAAATGAAGAGAATGGCCTAGTAATCCATAGAATTAATTTGTGAGTTTTAGTGCCACTTGAGCATGTGGTGTACATATTCCACTATTTTGCTTCTCCATAAATTGGTGCTCCATAAGGTTGGTTAGAGCTTTTAATCAAAATACTAATTGTAATATGCACAAATACTTCTAGAGTGAGAAATAATATACATAGATCCTCAAACTTTTATGGTATCAGCATCCTCCTTGACTCCCTTCCTCAAAAGAAAATGCAGTAAAAAAAGATAGACGCAAGATCTCACACTCTCCTCAGATTCACGCACTTGATTTGGTGGTTAGGGACTGAAGGGCAACAACACAATGGCAAATGTTAAAATCATTTCTTGATTTTACAAAAGATAAAGGCATTAAAGAAAACTTCGAGAAACAATATGATCTAGGAGAGGTTCCTCCTCTTGTATGTACCTCGTTTTATTTTTAACTATGCATCTTTAAGATGCATATGTATGTATAAATCCAAGTCTAAAATTTGTCTAGATATGTATATGATTCCTATATACATATACATATCAACGTACATATACAGGCAGATATAAAAGTTATTTATCGCATCAAAAAAATTACAAGTGCTACTCTAAGGGGGACCTTGTTCACAGAATAGGTACTAACAAGCAATCATGCATTCGAGTGAAACATCGCAATACATTCATCAACAAGGAGAAAAACCCATTCCAAGACCTATATTTCAGTATAGTTTTAAAGGAATACTTAACTTTCTCTGAATGTGCAACACATAGTTCACATGGAAGCACATTATAAGACAAACTCATGCCGTTCAGTAATGCACAGCACCAGAGTTTATGAAAATGGATCCACATTATTAATTTCAGTAACAAAACATTCCAATGTTAACAGCAAGCTAGAGGGTGCTGAAATCCATCTAGAAAATTATTTTAAGTATGACAAAATACACCTCATTCAAGCGCAAGTCACGACCAAACCGCAAATGTGTGCTGGAATTGAAGATTTGCTCCATGCCATCTGCAGCAGACCCATCAAGAGAATCGGTATTCTCGACCGTGTTACCATCCAATGCAGATGCATCGAAAATTGATGAAGGCACAGTCACTGGACGCACGTGTAACATATATGGAGATGATAGAGAAACCAAACTTTGGCCAGATGGTGGTTTGTGTCCAAAACAAGTCATTGCTAAGTCCTCTCTGCCCACAAGTACATATGCAGCAGCAGGCCAGTCAACAGGGGGTGATTCCCGACATCGGTCCAGTGCCTGTGAAGCGAGAAGAATAATCAATCAATGTTAGAAACCCACATCCGTGAGGCAGTAAAAAGGTAATGGAACACAGAAGTTGCAGACATGATCGAGCATCAGGCTTGATAATAATCACCAAACTCTTTCTTTACGAGATGAAAGCAAAAAGTTTCTATTTGAGGACCTTTACCGGAAAATCTACCAATTAAAGCATATCCAATTTCAAAATTTTAGTCAATAAAGCACTTTTTTATTTTGAGGAACCAAAGGTTCCTCTGTTAGACAGATTTCTTTAAGTTCTGGTGCTTCCGTGTCTGTATAGTACAGCAAGTTGTCTCCTACAGTGATTCATACACTATAAAATTAGAGTTCTGACATTTTCTGAGACCTAGCAACATTTAGAACATCCAACGCCCAGAGGCAGCGCAACAGGTGAAATTTGGAAACTTTAAAACCACAAAAAGTATCACAAGCCCAGATGAAGGAAATATACCATCCCCCAGCCACAGTCATGCAAAGAGTTAGATAAAAACAGGCTGAATCACTGTGTCTGTGGCATACATAGGTTCTTAACATGCTCTATGCTAACACAACAAATCCATGAGAGGTGGTTAGTAGACCACATATGCATTTAACATGGCTGCATGGGAATCTTTTTAACCAACAACACTTAGTGATTTGGTTCAAATACAAATTAAATGCAAATTATTATTATCCCAAATACAACTGCATGTCTCAAGCCAATTATGCAAGGTCAAAATAGGTTAAATTCTACCATGGAAAAGTATTCTCAAGCATGCATACACAATGCCAGATGCAGAATGATAGATCAATCAAAGATATGCTAATAATCAGACATGCATTCAAGATATAAAGGGGAAAGTCCCACGGCATGTGTATAATTTTCATTTCTACTTTTTTTTTTGCCAGATTTACACCCTAAATGCCTCACAAACCATTAGATCTCTCTGGGATAAGGATTTAACCTTCTCAAGATGAATGAGAGACAGGAGGAGGAGGAGGGGGCGAGGGAGACAAGGGGACAGTAGAGAGAGAGAGAAAGAGAGAGGGAGAGGGAGAGAGAGAGAGAGAGTTAAATGTAAACTTTTCAAGGAAAACTCAGAAAGCAGGTTAGACCTTTTGCAATGCCATGTAGCTTCTTTTATCAGAACATAGCAACTATGGGACGCACCACCAAAATTGGAGCCTACTTTTGCCTAGCTATTGCCATCTAGTGGATCTTTTTTATTTTTTTGAAACTGCCATACAGTGGATTTCCTGCAACAAATATACTGAGTAACCATAGTCCAACGAACCCCCCCGTAGTTATGGTGTTGTTCCTGCCCAGAACCTTCATTCGATTCTTTCTTCTGAACCATAATTCAGAATCTTCCCATAAACTAACCCTTGCCAATGTCTGACTGACATCCGTTCCACTACCTCTCCCACATAATATCCAGCAAACGGCAACTATAAGCCTCAGAAAAGGAGGCATTTATTCTTGGCTGCAAATATTATGTTAATAATTGGTCTTGGGCTTTAAAGGAAGTCTTGTAATGTTATACAGTCCTCCCCTTCAATGGCTTGAGGATTGAAAACGAGTTATAATCAATTTGAAATGTCAATTACCCTCAATAAAGAAAAATAATTTAGTACATCGAGAAGGACAAGTGACATAAGAGGACTTTTGCCCAATTGTTAGAATCTATGATCTTCATGGTATCTAGAACTTTAATTATCCCAAGGAGTAAAAAAAAGGAGCTGTTTTGCCATTGTAAGCCCGCATCGCAACAAATTCATTCAGGACAGCCTCTACTTCTCAGGATGGTAGGAATCCTAGCGAAACTATGGCAAAACAGTTGCCTCTTTCTTTTACTCCTTACAACTTATAATACTAGCACTCTAGCCACATCATAGATTCTGAAACTTGGGCCAAGGTCCTATTACATAAAATGTTGTTCCCTATATAATATTTTGTTTTGTTGAGGACGATTGACATTGTAAATAGATTATCTTCTGAGACATGTCCTCGAGCCAATACAGGGATGACTACACGTGTTACAAAACTTCCCTTAAAGACCATCAACTGATAGTCAATAGCTCACACTTGACTCAATGGTATGATTGAAAACAAGAACCAACATATGCATGACACCAGCCATGCTCTCATATATCCTTGTCAACTCACAATACAACTCTCAGGTAGAAGCTCGGCTAACAGTACATTATACAGTGAATGGACACCCAACTTTCCTAATTAATAAACCTCAAGTTCAAATGATAATTATTATTTTACATGATTTCTCCTTTTTAAAATATAGTTTCTTTTCTTTTATAAAATTTTTAAAATATAATTAACTTTGTTTTAAAATATAATTAACTTAGTTATCTTAACATGAAATGTGTGATAACAAATCAGGTCGTTATCCTAATATGAATTGTCCTATGATAAAAAACGTAAACCGTGTCATATATTACCTCCAAAAGATGCTTGTGAAGTACTTATTAGCTTCAACTGAACAACAAAACAGCTTGAAGTCCAAAAACATTTCTGCCCACCATCTTTAAAGCATCATCCCAATTTGCTTTCTAGAAATATATCCCTATTTTATCACATCATTGACTCCTAAAATTGTTGGGTTTGTGGCCTTTAAAGACCTCGAAAACATGTAAAAATTAAAAATTATAGAGCATGCACGCTTCAATGGGAATGTATGAACCCCTGGTTGAATGACACAGGTTTGAGCGGTCTACGCCCATATCTTTGTCCAAAACTCTTGCCCTGGGGCATAGGCATTACCACTAAGGGTTACATTGTACAGTCAACCAACGTTGCGGATGGAGAGATGCCCAAGGATGATACCTATATGTCAAGAGACTAGTGGTCTCCTCCATGCGATTAGAGGATAGGGCCAAATCCTCAACAACCACAACATTGCATATATACATGATAACTGCATTTTAGGAAGCAGCCTTGGGAGGGTCACGTATACGCATAAGAGACAATCCATGTGTTGTGTGTGTTCATCTTCACGAATATGACTAACTCTAGGGAGAAGCTAAAATCCACACACTAGATTTGTGGTTTTGCTATTTATTGGCCATCTTTGATAAGTCAATCATAAGCCATTGTCATTGACTGTAGGTCATGGGTCTTATTGGGTTAGTTTGAGAAAACAGTTGTGGATCACAAATTTTTAACATCAATGGAGTGCCCTCTCGTAAATCACTTTTTCTGACCCATTGGATCCAATCTACTTCTAGAATTATTTTACAAGCGATTAAAAATTTATTGGAACCCTAGAAATATCTTTTTAAAATTTATTAATGCCCTTGAGAAATTAAAATATTTTAAAATTTTAAAATTCATTTTATCTATTTAAAATGGCTAGAAGGGTGTTTCAGATATTTCTAACAATCCTAGGGCCCCAGTTTTAGTGAGGGACTCAAGTGGGGGCCTAAGGGCCTGGTGCCCACATGTGTGTGGCTACACATAGCATACAACAAGGGGCCCACATTTTCAATATCATTGGGATGCCCCACTTTCCCCTAGTTTCTTTAGAAGCTAAGAGAAAGATATAAAGAGATTTGGTTTGTTATGGACTTTGAATTTTTCACTTTGAAAATAGATCTTTTAGTTGATTTGGAATTAAAAAGAATAGAAATTATTTTATGTGAGAGAGAAATCAACATTAAATTGATTTTTCGATAGATCTAATCCTAGTTGGACAAGAAGAGGATATGGGTCAAGGATCTAAGGTATAATGGTTCTACAAGTCCCTAATCATGATGGCTAGTCTACAAAATAGATGGCTCAAATTTAATTCTCTTCACCTCACAGATTACCTGGGACTCCTAAGGTCAAAGTGGAGTCCTAATAAAAACATGGCATACCCTAGGACATAAGGCCCTATATAAAGGGGGATACCCACCTCATTCCCCTCCACGCCTCTCTCTCTCTCTCTCTCTCTCTCCTCTCTCTCTCTCTCTCTCTACTCTCGTCTCTCTCGTCGTCTCGTCCGCTACGTACGTACGTACGTCGTACGTACGTACGTAC